AAAAAAAAAAACTCGGCTTTAAATTCAACTAACCCCATATTCAAATATGGCTACAGTTTTGAGAACAACAAGGTCGTAGTTGTCCATGTATGGCACTATAATGACATCTCCAAAAAACTCAGCCTCTCTCTTTACTTCTGTATTCACTTCCTTCCTTGCATTCTGTAAAAAAAAATGGGTCCCAAAGTTAGCTCCAACAGCTTAGAGTCGAGGATTTTCAAGGAATTAACTAAAAAAATTTTCAAGAAAACAATCATTTTCACCCACCAAAGCGACAAAAAAACGCACGACAACTTTTGATGATTTAATTAGCTTGTGCTGCATCCAAGATTTCCTCACAGCCATTCTTTCTGCAAAGTGGCTGCCTGCAGAAAGAATACCGATGAAGAGTTCAACGGGCCCGGATGGGATAGGAGGAGCTTTCCATTCTTCGGACAAATCGAGATGCCTCTGAGGAGCAAAACTCGGGTGTGATGTGGGCAAGGAACCAGCAAATATAGAATGAACATCGATATCTCCATTTAACGATAATCCAGTGGCATCCTCAAGGGTGAATCCCTAAACATATAATTTTTTTAAATAACTTCATGAAAACTTAATAGGCAAAAGAAAAAAGAAGGAAAAAAAGCAGTAAGATTACTCACAGTGCGATATGGAAATGAAGTGACATGTCTTCCATCAATGTTGACATGGTAACCTTCAAGACCAGCACTTAGAGTGAGCACAAACAGTTTGCCTTCAGCAAAAGGAAACGGCCAATCAACAGTCACTTTTTTAGTTCGTCCAATTAGTCGGTTTAGCCACCATGTCGCCTTTGATTCCTCCGAGCCATTATCATCATCCCGTATCCACTTTTCACATTTCACCATGTCATCAACTGCATATAGTTTAAATCTTGAGAACCATGAATTTGTTACAGGATGTCCATAATCAAAGAGAGAGTATCGTCGTTAAAAATACATGTCGTAATTCGTATACATTATGTGGAGGACTAATGCACATGATCTAATCCCAATTCTAATCAAATTAGGGCTATCCTGATGGAAATTGCTTAAACGGGGGAATATTATCAGATATAGGAAAGCAATCATTCAATGAAATTTTCTCACTTTACTTTTGCACATAAACTCAACTAACTGTCCCCATTCCCATGAAATTCCAAATAAGGAACATCAGAAGTTGTCCCATGCTTACCTAACTCAAACATATGCCCATCTATGTACCTTCAAAAGCTAACATAACAATTTTACTCATATATGCAATCCATCACTGTCCATTTTCCCCAAAGAAACTTCAACAAACAAAACAAAACATAACGTAGCTCAACCAATCCATCAAACACAATGCAAGCAAATACCCAATTCAATCCCTTCCCACTTACCAGTCTCCTCATCGGCACGAGATTTCCAGCCTTCGCACCTCTGAGAAGTTCCCCATTGCATTCTGTAACACGTGTTGTGCTCGATCACCGGCTTTCCGCTCCAATCCCCTTTTAGCCTCGGGTTAAGATGCAAAATCCTCGGAGGATCCTCGTCCTCCACTGTCTTCAAACCCTGCAACTCCATCATAAACTGCGAAACCATCACATACTGTCCCTCCTTCAGCAAAGAAATTTTCGGGTCGGTCTCAGCATGAGCCAACCTCGGTTTCCCCACAACCGTCATGTGGGACCCTAACGTAAACCCACAGGGAAGCACCATAATTTTCCCATTCTTCAAAAACTCCTCCCCACCGACCGATATGGAGTGGGGGCACGGCTCGGGTTTGGTACTAGTACTCCCCTTGC